CGTTTGTTTAGTCCTTACCTTCCTTCATTACTCCTATGGATAAGGCCAGAACCATAGTCTCAGGGCATTCAGGGCTGCATTGTGTTCCTTTGGCAGCTTCTCTTGATGCTTGGCCAGCCAGGATTTCTGTGTGCTGGTACGTGCTGGGGTTGGCCCGTTCACATCCCATCAGCCAGTGCCCTCCAGTGCTGACAGACCCTGTGTCACAAAAACTTGAGTTTGGGACTTTGAAGTCAATGGATTGAATAAAGGAAATGGATCTCAAACCCCAGAACAGCCCCTCTGCCAAGCGACCTGCTTGGCGTGCAGTTTCCTTGCTGCTGAGCAATGACAGTCAGGGTCCCTTTCTCTGTAAGGGCTGCAGTGAAGGAGAGAAGCTATACCTTTATTTCCCTGTTCATATCTCTTCCTCCTGTAGAGTCAAAAGCTGATCAGGCCTAGCAGTTTTGTGGCACTGATCAGAGTGCCATCCTTAGGCACCCACTGAAGGCTGTGGTCTGTAGGTGCTTGAGCTTGATGTAGATGCGTGAGTTTGAGATGCTCGATTCCTGGTCTTGGGATCAGGCTGGCATTTTGTGTTAGAACCAGCAAATGATGTGGTTTGTCCCTCTGGGCCCTCCAGGTTCCTCAGCACCTGAACACTCATCTCGAGGGATGGGCTCCCGGCTCCACAGTGCTCCCAACCTGTCGGATTTGCCTTCCTGCAGGCAGAAGATAACCAAGGAGCACTCTAAGCTCTCTGATCCTCTTGTTTCTCACTTTGGTCATACCCCAGTCTCCCAGCCTCTGCAGATTCATGGCTTGCAGCACTGCCGGCAGCTCAGGTCCTCACCAAAGCTGTCCGAGTTCATGCAGAGAAGCCCTTTGCCAACCATAGTGGGCTCCCCTACAAAGGTATGTCAGGGAGTCTGCTTTTGGGTTTCTCATAGCTCAGTCTTCTGGGTTACTTGGGGATGAACTGCTGTGTAACTCTGACCTGGATTTATCACCACTGGTCTGCTTTCCTTCAGGGACTGTTCAGTGATCTGTGTGAAATGGGGCAATGTCCTAGTTCTTAGTGGTCAGATCTCCCTTGGCAGCAGTGTTCACCCTGAGCAGAGGCCAGGGTGTTAAACAGGCAGTGAAAAGGAGCTGCCTGGATTAGGCAGAAGCACATTAGTGAGCTGCAGTGCCGGGGCTGGTGGCACAAGTGTGTGTCCAGGAGGAATCACCAGCAGGGATGGGTGAGCAGGTGACAATCTGGTGTCCAATGCAAAGCTGGGACAGCCTTTTCTCTGCTTATGTTAGGCTGCTACAAGTTTTCAGCAGTTTGTTGTCCTTTCACTTTAGTCTTTCTGGGACTGGCAACAACTGACTGCGTGGGGTGGGATTTCCACCTCCTTAGGTTGATAAGCGTACAATTTAGTTTTGATAAATAATGGGGGATGAGGGGAACCTTCCTCCTTTGTTTTAAAGATGGGTCTCTGTTTTTTCTGTTCTTCTCAGGCTGTGTCCCCATTTGAGTTTCCCAAAACCCCAAGTTCCCAGAATCTCCTCACCCTCTTGGCCCACCAGGGTGTCATGATGACTCCAACACGGAATAAGACCTTGCCAGATCTGAAGGAGATGGGTCATTTCCACTGCCAACAAACTGGCTTGGGATTGAGGCCTGTGGAAGAGATCAAGGGCAGGTGAGCTATAGTCTGCTTTATTCAGTGGTGTTTTGTTCCTTAATACAGGACAGATGGGGCAAATTTCAAACCCTATCTAACACTAAGGTGCAGGGTTTCACCAAGTGGGGTGCAGGATTTTGTTACTAGACCACGCTCCCTGCAATTATGCAGATGTGTGCCTTGCTCTGTCATGGATGAGAGGCTATCACAGGTGTTCCTTGTCCATCAAACAGTGGGCACAGGGCTTCAAACCAGAGATGTGTTGGAAAGCTATGTGCAGACTGTCACCAGCACTGCAGGATACAAAGTCACTCAGGTGTTAGTGTTACTGCAGCTTTCTCCAGTGATCTGGAGGAGGCCTCTGATGCTAATTTCTATATCTTTCATCAAAGAAAACTTGTGTTGTAATAATGCTGTAGTCAGTACTTGCATTTCTGCAGTTAGTCACAGTAGTTGCATGCTTTCTACAAGTAGCAGGAGGTGCTTCAGGTGCTCTGTTGAAAGAGGAAGAGTGGTTATTTCAGCTCCAGACTATTTACCTGCGTAGTGTTAAGTGGTTGTGGGCCAGGAATGGCACAAACTGGAGAGGAAGGTAGCCGAAACACTGCACTTCTTGACTTTCTGCGTCTTGTTGTATGTCCTCTTCTTAGATCCCTGAGCACAGGCAGGCTCACTGACCTGCTTCTGAAGGCAGCCTTTGGGGCACAGGTCTCAGAAGCTGGCAGCAACGACAGCCTGAACAATGAGAAGCCAATGGAAATTGCAGGTAGGTGGGGAGGCCAGGCTGATCGGGCTGGATATCCTGGGTTGGGGTGAACAGTTTGCCTACATGCTTCCTACGAATGGGAGGCTCCTTTTCTGATGGCTTTTGGCAAAGGAAGTGGCTGCAGTGTGTGAGGAGTGTAATGATGTTTGCCTTCTCTTTTGGAGCGCTCGAAGGTCTGTGGGCTACGCGTGCGGTGTAATTGTTGGCTAGTGGTGTGATTTCTGTAGGCAGGGCTTCCTCTTTGGCCCCTTCTGAGTGTGATAACATGTGGAAGTGGGGACTTTCTGCCAGGCAGCTCGAGTATGAATGGTGGCTCTGCAAGGGTGGGTCTTCCTGGGCTTGCAGGTTGGGAAGTGAGGAGGGAAGAACAGCTGCAGCAATGCTGGGATGCTGCCAGGCTCGTGTCCTGTAGTCCATGCCAGCCTGTCCTGTTGTGTTCATGGGGGATGATGCCTCCAAGGGGAGCGCTGGCCCCTGCTGGTAACCACTGTCTCCCAAGAGAGTCTGCAGGAACACAAAACCGCTGGGTGAGGCACACCATGCTCTGAGTAACTTTCCTGTAATGCCAGTCTGCACCTTTCAACTGTCTCCCCAGCTCCCTCAGGTGCTTACGGAGGGACCCTGCACTCTGGTGCCCGGGCTGGGGGCTCTGCCAGCCCATCCCCAGTGATTTTTACTGTTGGATCCCCTCCCAGTGGAACAACCCCCCCACAGACCACGAGGACCAGGATGTTTTCAGGTAAAGGGCTGATACCTTCCTGCCTGTTCCAGTGGGAATGCCTGGGGGCAGAGCAATGTGTTGAATTCCTTGGTGCTGAACACTGATGGTGGCAGAGGGCTGCTCAGAGCAGTCTGTGGAGCTCAGCTGGTCTAAGTGCTTTTGAGGTTCTCGTGCTGCCTCCTGCCAACCACAGTTATTGGTGATGACTGTTTGCACTGGCAAAAGGACTAATGCCAGATAGCGGTTTTCCAGTACTGGAAGAGACAGACAAACTCCTGTTTTACTTCATTGCTCTCTGCTTCGGGAATGATGCTGCAGCTGTTCATAGATCCAGTGTTGCTGATAGGTCAAGAGATGTAAAGTTTGTGTTGTGTCCTGATCATTTTGGATGAGCTATAAAAAAACAAGCGTGACCATCTGTGTCCAACAGTTTCAGTGCACAAATACTATTAGGCTCTGTATGTAAAGTTACTAGTGGTGTTACTTATGCTCTGAGCTGCCTAAGTAGGAGATGGGGAAATGCACTCCTGCTTGACAGATACTTCTTGTAAGACACTGAGTGCTCTGGCCTCAGCAGCAGCAGTTGAGGCTATGGCAATTGGCCTTTCTGGGATACTGTGTCTGGCAGCTGGAGTCTGTGTTCGGTTTAAGAAAACACTTGGACACTTTTGTTTGCATTTTTGGCTTCTTTGGGTTCTCGTCTTGGCTGTTCCTCATCTGAATGTTGTTGACTCTGTTGTTGTTAATTACTGCAGGGAAGGTTTGGATGTAACCACAACAAGCTGCTTGACTGGGGTGGGGACACACATGGGCTCTGTTCCTGGGTATAGCTTGCATTTCCATCATAACTAAAACCACTCACATCCTTGATTGTCTGGAAAGTTGGGACCGTAATCCTCTTTGTCTCGTCTATTTAGAGGGTAAGCTCTGTAGGGCAGACACTCTTACAAAGTGTCTGATGGGCCTGTAGCACGACGGACTTACTATCCTGGCTACAGCCTTTAGCTACTACTGCAATGTTATGAATAGAGAGTTCAGACTTCCCATATTGCTTTTGCAGGGATAGTAGCAATTTGGAAGCAGATCCAAGCATCAGTTTTTACCAGGTTGATACTTAGATGCTTAAGGGTCTGCCAAACAGTCAAGATCTCAGACTGGATGCCTGAAAGAGATGGCTGTTGAATCGTGAACCTACAACACATACACAGCATTAGGCCAAGGCAGTCAAGGCAGTGCTGCTTGATGCTTTATTTGTTAGGTCTGCGCAGTAAATCCTTACGTTATAGTTAATACACAAAGTTAATGGTGAAACGGGGAGCTTTGCAAGCTGAAACTCTGCACCCCGAGTGCTTGGACAAGCCATGAGTAAGATCTCTTGATGGATACAAAGGCAGAGCCTTTACATGAGTCATCATAACAATTCTGAAAACAGCCTCTCAGAATTACAGGGTATCCAGAATGTGATATTGTTGGTCCTTCTCTCTCTCTCTCTGAAAGATCTGGCAATCCTCTGCCGGTCTTTGATGATGCACTTAGCTTTGAAGCATAGCTGCCAACAGGGAGGAGATGAAACTGCGCCTCTCTGTAGATCAGTTGTGCATTATTATATTGCTGAAACTTCTGAAGGCAGGGTAGGGCAGCAAATTAAATTCATGGGTAGAAGAGAAACATCTCCCGTCAAAGGATCAGTGACAGTGGAGAATATTGCCTTGGTAGAATTAGCAGAGTATTGTAGCTGGTATTGGCATCCCCGTGTGAGACAGAACGTATCTCTCTGTGGCAGTGGATGTAAACCCTCTGGAGTGGTGAATGTGTTATGAATACCCTGAGACAAACTCTTTTGGAAGTGTCCATCTTTTATATGCAGTGTGCTGTTAGAGTGGCCTCAGTGGTCAAGAAGGGGAAAAGATGATGGTGAGGGGATTGTCTGATGGACACCGTACGTACAGGTTCTACTGAATCCTGAGGTTAGGGTCTTGACTCAGCTGAAGTCACTTATTCTCTGCCCAGCCTCCTATCTGTAAAGAGGGGGAAGCAGAAATGCAGGGCAGGTAATGGAAAGCTCTCCTGGTTTGCATCGGAGGGGTTGATGTTTTAAAACCATAATCAAACCCTCACTTATCAGAGGTGCTCATTCAGTGACAGGGAGCCAGGGTTCAAACCACGCTAATCCTTGACTGGGAACTTGGCTATAGTGGTGTATCATAAAAATCAACTCAAGAAATTACAGCAGGATTCAGAAAGGGTTTGGATAAAAAAAGAAAGAATTGTCCCCATAAACAACAGACATTGGGGAAGGTGTGTTAAATCTGCCCAAGTCACTAAGGGGCTTGTGCTGGGGAGTGGTTATTCTGCATCAAGAGTTCTTGCGTCCTCCTCCAAAGTACCTGTTGCTGGATCCTACAGGACTGTCCCCTCTGCTGACCTACTATTAATACTTTCAATAATTCCTTTGCCTGTTTTTCTTCCCAGTGGGGTCTTCCAGCTCTCTCAGTTCTGGAGGCTCATTCACCGGCAGGCACTTGGCAGTGGGAGCTGGTGGGGATGCTGTGGAAGGCCCCTCAAGTCTCCGGTACGCTTTTGCTGATCCGATCACGGCCAACCTGGAAGGTGCTGTCACATTTGAGGCACCAGAGTTGCCCGAAGAGACGCTCATGGAGGTGGGTATATCCTGGACAAAGGATGGAGGAGTACAAGTAAAGCAAATCCAGAGGTCAGATTTGGACCAGGGGGATTGCTTCTAAAGATGGAGCTAACTGTTTTCAAGAGAGCAAGGCCAGTGTAGTGCTCAGAAAGCCCAGGGCATGCTTGGCACAGTGACTTTTGAGTCTGCTGCCAAGCTGTTTAATCCATGACCAGGGTTAAAAGTCACTGTTTCCGAAGCTGAAATTGCATGTTGGAAACGTCTGGTGCATCCTATAGTAACAGCTTCTGAAGACAACCTGGCTAGTTTGGGCCTTTTCCCTTGTAAAAGGCTGACTTGAGAGTGCGAGTAGCTCAGTGTGTCACACGCTGCCTCCTGCATGCACTTGGGGAGTCAGGCAGTGATACAGCCTCAGCTGAAAGAATCTGAACTAGAGTAAACCTGACACTTGTGTTACTGATGGGAGTGGGGGGACACCATGTTCTGCACCGGAACAGCTGAACCGGATTGTGGAGCTGAAAGGCTGCCAGGCTCCCCTTCTCTGCAGGCTGAAGCAGAGCAAATGCTTTTGTAGCTGAGATATATTTGAAATGTAGGTCAGGCTGCCCATTTGCAGCAGAGGTGGGAGGCAGATTCAGGCACAGTTTTATAGCTCTACTCATGATGCCTCATTTGGCTGTCTGCGACTGGGGAATGCTCTTTGTATCTGCATTTTGCCAGTGCTGCTAAAAACCCCTAGGTAGCCACAGAGATACACATACATTGTTTTAAGGATGTGGGTTTGCTCTTCTACTTCAGATTTTATTTAGCTCTTTTTTGTTGTTGTTCACTGTGCATTGAATTGCATCGTTTGCTTAATTACCTGCAGAGCCACAGGGTTAGGACTTTCAGCATTGGTGTGGTTGCAATAGTAGAGAGTTTAAGTGAGCATCCTACTTATGTGAGGTCCCAGAAGTATGGGGCTCTGCCAGCTGCCACCACTGTGGACACTGGACTGAATTGCCCTAAGGAAGTATCAACTTGATCTTGTTAACACCTCTCAGCTTCTGTCTGTAATGAGTCATTTGGTTTCAGTCATCATTTCTGCTGAGCACAATAATCCATTTGTGTATCACAAAACCTTTGCAGCATATTTGAAGTCCCCCTTGTGCCCTGTGGAGTTGGCCAGAATGCAAACCCCACAGGCTCTCTGATTGCTGCTCATGCTTTCAGGGCATTGAAATATCACTGTTTTTAAGCACCCTTGTTTATCTTGAGCAAAGTTGTTGTTATTCACATGGGTGGTTCTTCCATCTCCTGTAAAAGTTTCTTTAGGTGCAGACAAGGCAAATTAGAGGCTTTAGTTTCTTTTGGAGTGCTTTAAAAACAAAATACAGATGGCTACAGAAGGAAAGACTCTTGCGATGCCAAATGAGGCCACGAATGCCAGGATAAGTAATAGAAGCCAAGAGGAAGGACTGTGCATTGGTTAGAGATACCAGGTTGAGACCTGCGAGATCTCAGCAGTTTCCTGCTCTGCCACAAACTTCTTGTATGACTTGGCAATTACTTAATCTCTTAAGTTCCTCCTCTGCTTTTAAAGAAAATAGAGGAAGATGGAGATAACACTTCCTTACCATGCTGGACTGTCCAGCTAGCAAGACAGTGGGGGAAGAGATTCATAATTCAGGTAGTAAAAGCTGCCTTAGCAGCTAAGTGCCAGAGCCAGTGAATGAGAAAGAAAAGCTTGCAGAACTTGAGAACTGGGGAGAGGGGTTGATAAATTCATGTAGGAAACATCCTTACCGGCCCCCTTTGAGAGAACTGGGCCACTGAGTATGTGAAGATCAAGCAGTTTAGAGAGTACAAACAACGGAGTTGCAGCAGTTCATTTTGTAGACCCACATGCACACAGTTTTTCCTCAAATACTGACTTCCCAAACATGCTTGCAGTGACTTTAGCAATGCAGCTTCCCAGAAGTGGGATAATCCCCTTTGATCTGTAATAACAGAAGAAAAACTGTTTTGAAATGAACATAGCCCTTGGTGTGAGAAGCTCTCTGCCCTCAATAGCTGGGCAGGAATTGCAGATAGATCAAAGGTTGTCCTTGCTGTCTCTTCAGAGGACCTCATCCAGGACTCACTACACTGAACTGGGAGAATATAAAGACCAAGAGCTAAGTGAAGGCTCTAGGGTGGGACACACTTTGCAGTTTTCCACAGCATAGGAGGTTGTCACTCTCAGGATATCCACACATGCATTCAGTTTTGTACCAGCACTGCTGTGGTGGGAACCGGAGCTGGGCCTATGGTGCAGATGGGCTCTCTCCCTTCCTGGCTGGCTTCTGAAAGAGTCCCACAGAGCTGGGATCCTCCTTGAGAAGGGGATGTGTAACTTTGGAGCATCTCAGCAGCTTCCCCAGGGAGCTGCTTGGAAGTTTCTGGCCTGGGGCTGTTACTTGCTGCTTTAACTGTGGAGGAGGAACTGATGTTGTAAGTGGGCTTGAGGCTGAGTTTGTCTGTCCCTGCCCACAGCAGAGGCGTAGGAGGGTTTGGGGCTCAGGTGTTACTTCTGTAAGCTGGGATGAGCTGCTGGCACAGCTCTCAGGGATCAGCCTTCCCTCATGTGCCAGTTCCCTCTGTAACCCCTGCCTTGGCATCCCTTCAACAGCAAGAGCACACTGACATCCTGCGCAGCCTCCGCTTCACGCTGGCTTTTGTCCACTACGTGATGGAAATTGCTGCCCTTAAAGGCAGCTCCAGCGAGATGAGCAGCTCAGTGACAGCCGAGTACCAGCTCCAGGAGAGCGTGGTGGCCGACCAGATCAGCCTGCTCAGCCGGGAGTGGAGGTAAGGACCGGGGAGGGAGATGCCCAGGTCCCAAGTCTTCTGTCACCCCCTCCCATAGCAGAAGTCCTTCAGGACACTTACCGCTGTCCCTTCGATCTGTTGTGCTCTCTTTGCAGCTATGCAGAGCAGCTGGTGCTGTACCTGAAAGTAGCAGAGCTTCTGTCCTCGGGGCTGCAGATGGCCATAGAGCAGATCAAAGCTGGCAAGCTGTGCCTCTCCTCCACTGTCAAGCAAGGTAAGGGGCTGCTGGGCACACGGCACAGAGGATTGCTCTGGAATGGAAGTGTTAAAAGTATAGCAAAGGGGTGGAGGGGCTTGAGCGTGAAGCCCCATCCATAAGCCCAGCGGCTTGTTTCTTATTGTCTTCTTATACAACCAGGTCTGTTTTTATTAGCACTGAGGGGATTGTTCCTCTCTTCACATTGACTTCATGTCCCAAAGCTCTTGCTTATGCCCTGGTGAGAATCTTCAGCACTAATTAGTGAGAGGGGGGATGTATCTTATCTGATTCCTTGTTCATCTCTATCTCAGGTGCTTATTTGTACCTGAGTAAGCCCAACTTAATTACATGGTGCATGTCCTAGGAAGTGCTTGGCTGGCAAATGGAGACCTGTCTTGGCAGTGATGAAAACACAGGAAGTACAATACTGGTAATGCCAACGTCACTTCTTTGCTAGTGTTATGGCCTTAATATTTGCAACTGACTGGCTGGCTTCTGATGCAAGCTGGCTGTGATTCAGTGATGAGAAAAAAACATTTTAAAGCTACCTTTGTAATGGCAGTTGAAGTACTTGACCCACCAGCCACCTGCCCCAAGAGCTCAGTTGGTGAAAGTACTCATGTTGCCTTGGGATGGGGTGTAAAATAATAGCAGGTGAATGCAGTGAGCACACAGACCTTGTAGCAGGCACTGTGGGGCAAGATACGCAGGTTTAGCTGCACATCTTCTATGAGTTCAGGCCACCAAAATCACTCCTTTCAGAGCAGATTGCAACATCTAGATTTGTAGTGTAATTTGTCCTCCTGTGTGTGGAAATTGGGCAAGGCTGTCTTGTCTTGTTTCTCTCACCACAAAATCTGGTCCCTTTAGGCTTTTCAGGGCACAGTTGCAGACAAGAGGGTTTTCAAGATACTCGTGTCCCATGTGTATGGAAAAAGCAGGGAAGCATGACAGGACACTGCCCTGGAATGTCCTTGGGCAGTGTGTGCCAGGCAGGGTCTGTACCCACAGCAGTCTCTTCTCTGCCTCTCTGCTGTCTTACCTGTGCCTGGGAAGGCTAGACTGGGTCACGAGGCCTGGCTCTCATGTGAGGTTGCACCTCTGCATCGTAGCTGAGAGAGGCTGGTTCATGGCATGTGTTGATTTGCCTCCCCCAGGAGCAAATGGTGCAGTGTGGGGGATTTTCAAATGTGCACGTGGCAGTTAGTACTCATCAGGTGCTGGTGGGAGTTTGTATCCATGACTTCATGTAGGCCATGCCGTGCAGCTAGGGAGACTGGAGCCTGGGGCATCATTTGCTGATTTGGATTGGTATCTAATCAGAATCACACTTGATTCCCGATTCTTTATCCCCTAACCTTCCCATACGAGCTGCTGTGGCTCAGGAAAGAGGTGGCTTTTCACAGGCATCGGTGTCCTTTCTTCCTGGGACAGCAGAGTCCCGAGAGAGATTCCCTTGCTTAGTCAGTGCTGCTCCTCCACACGCAGCTCCAGCAGCTACCACGCACCAGTCACGTACTTCTTCACGGCACGTCACCACCCATCAAGCAGCAGAAGCTTTGTATCTGGCACGTCTGTTGCTTCTGGTGTGCATGAGACATCCTGCACGGTGCAAACTGCTCTGCCTTGTGGTGGCTGAAGGAAACAGGAGTAGACCTGGCCTCAGGTGAACTGGGCATATGTGTAGGTGTTGCCACGTGCAGGTTTATAACTGGGGAAGGTGACAGAGGAAAGGAGAAAGCCCCTGTTGGTACAGCAAGTACTTCCCTACCAGTCTTCTGTTTTGACCCTGTTGTCTTGAAGTTACTCATTTGGGGTCCTGTACGTGGAGATAAGGGAGGCACAGGGACAACTGGGAGTAGTGCCTAAAGCGTTTCTTTCCTTTACCCTAGTTGTGAAGAAGCTGAATGAGCTTTACAAATCCAGTGTCTCATCCTGCCACTGCCTCAACGTCAGACTCCAGAGGTTCTTCTTGGACAAACAGAAACTCATGGATCGGATCAACAGCATCACTGCAGAGAAGCTCATCTTCAGCTACGCTGTGCAAATGGTAATAACCACACAGTGCCTGGCAACAGGGTTAGCACAGAGCGAGTGTCGGGCACTAATGGTTCGTGCTGGTGGCCTTAGCGGGTGGTTTTACTCGTGATGCTGTGTGCAGCCTCTGGGTGAAGGAGGTGCTCACGCAGCTGAGGGGCCATTGGGTCTGGTCTGGGGGTGACCTTTTGGCGTGGGCTTGTTGCTGCAGGTACAGTCTGCAGCCCTGGATGAGATGTTCCACCACAGAGAGGACTGCGCACAGAGGTACCACAAGGCTCTGCTGCTCATGGAGGGGCTCCTGAACATCATCACTGAACAGGGGGACATAGAAAACATCAACAAATGTGAGTGTTCAGTGACTTCTTTTCTTCTCCCACCACAACACGTGTTTTTCTAACTGCAGGGATGAGAAATTTCAGTACCCAGCATCCTTTCTTCCTCTGACTACATCTTGGTGGACAGAGCAGAGATCTCTTGGCTTGTTACAGCTCCTCGTAGCCTGGCCTCCTGCTTTCCCAGTGGGAAAACTGTTAGAAATGCGTGTCCCAGTTCTGAGCCATATTTTGAGTTTCCCATGCAGAGCAATTGCCAGGGCTTTGCTGGAGCTTTTGATGTGTGAAAGAACTCGCTGAAGGAAGTGGTTTGGCAACAGCAAGGGCCTGGGTTTGGTTTCCAGCAGGAACCATCCCTCTGATTGCACAGAGCACTTGAACATGAAACTGCAGCGGCTGTGGGGCAGTGATGGCCCATCAACACAGCGAGAGCTCCTTCCAGCAGGGCTCCTTGTGAAACAGGACTGCTCTCCAGTCTGGTTCCCAGCCCCTGGCCTGGCTGAGAAGGCAGCAGACAAATACTTTCCTCATCAAGTGCTTGCTGTAGCAGTGAAAGCCGAACTCTTCCCTACTTGCTGTTGTTTGGCTTCCTCTCCCAGGGACAGATGGACCCCTCTGTCTGCTGCTCCGGGCTGTCACCTCCCTCATGCTCTCCCTTTGTCGTGAAGGGTGTTGCTGTGCTGCTGCAGGCTCTGCACTCGTGTGGAGCAGAAGGCACTGGCCTCACTTGCTCAGAGCACACTTTCCCTGCCCTTGTGGCTGGGGTTAATCACCTCTCTTGTCCCTCTCTATGGGAGGCGGGCAGAGGGGATGGGGAGCGGCCGTCGTCTGTTGGAGCAGCTTGACTTGGCCACAGCCAAACCAGCCCATCTGCAGCCGTCCCCGACGGCATCGGAGCGGCTGCAGGGAACGGCGGCAGCGGGCAACCCATTGCCTCTCCCCACTGCTGGCTACCCACTGCCTTCCGTGGGCCAGCATCCGGAGTGTGCCAGGCTGCTCCAGCCATCCGTGCAGGCAGAGCTCGCGGATACGTAATGAGAGGAGAGATTTCTGTCTCACAGGCAATCAGTCAGTTAATTATCACCACCTCTCAGAGCTGACATGAGGCTCACTGAAGGAGAGCAAAGAGAGATTGGCAGGGCATGTGTGGTACCGGATGGCTCAGTGAATAGGGAGTGCTAAGTAGTGTCTGTTGTACTATTTCTTACCAAACCTAAATCACATCTTTTGTTCAGATATACAGCTAATGCATCTAATAGATTTATTTTCCCAGGTGATATCCTGGTATTCCCTGCTTTGCTCTATGTTCCAGCTTCCCGATTGAGCTGTTCTCTGGTAGGCTGTAGTGACTATGCATTTAATTTTAGACCTCAGCTATATGATAACTTAATTCTGAAAAGTAAAACCATGACCCTAGAAATGACAACAAGTCTTCCTGTGAGAGGAATTAATTCCACCAAACATTGAGCTTTTGAGAGAGTCTTGGGCACTCAGTGAGGATCTGGCACTGACTGTGCTGGGCTGTGCTCAGTCTTCCAGTTGTAAGCCATGACAAATGGTGCTGCAGACCTTGAGTCATCCTGCCTGCTGGCAAAAGCCACTCCAATAACTAGAAGTGAATAAATTGTTCCCGGCAGCCAGTGGTTCTTTATAACATCTCGATACCTCTGTCAGAACAGGCTTTCGTTGCTGGATCTCTGATTATTCAGCCCTTTGACCTGTCCCTTCCCAGCGTGGTGACTGTGGTCAGGTCCCCACCTAGGCTAAAGCAGTGGTAACGATTCTCGAGGGGCTGCTCAGATTTGACGGCGTCCTGCCTTTTCCTCCCATTCTCCAGCACGTTTTGGTTGTCTTTACATTGCCAGGGAAACGGGAAGCTGATTTCTGTGGTGTTGTTTTCTGTCCCAGGTAAGCTGTGCATCGAGCGCAGGCTGTCGGCGCTGCTGTCGGGGTTCTGTGCCTGATGTCAGGGTTGCTGTTCTTCACGCCCCAGCTGATGGCTTTGTTTCCAGCGGCCTGCTGCTGCGGTGGGACGCGATTCCGGCAGCAGGAGCCCTGGAGGATGAACTGCTCAGTGTTCCGTATTCCGACGCTTTGGGAAGTTGTTCCACGGACTCGGATTCCTTTGTGGGGATGTGTGACTGCAGCAAGCACAAATACTTCCCTGCCCAAAGGCCTGGGCGAAGGTGTAGCCGATGTGGAAAGGTTTCCCTCATCGGCAGAGGGGTTGAAGGATAGGAATCTGCTTCTTCCCAGCACTTTGAAGGATAAGACTGCTGCCTATCCCTCTTGCTTAACAACAGGGTATTCCAGTGCTGTGTCCATTGCAGGCAATGGATGTGCTGAAACTGCTGGCTTCAGTTAACGTTGGAGGGTGTCATTCAGAAATCAAGGCCAGTTTGTGTACTTCCCCCTACCTAGCTGAGAGCCAGGCATCTTCAAGCTTCCTGGCACCCTGAGGCTCCCCTCCTTTCCCTCCATTGTCCCCTCTCACACGTGTTTATGCCTTGGAGTGCTTACTGAATGGCAGAGAGGAGGGAGGCAGCTCCCTATTGCCTGAGCGCTGCTGAAGTAGCTCCCACCTCGACAGACTTGCTGAGCGAGGCAGAGGATGCGCTGCGCTGGGGCAGGTTGTGTCTCCCGTGTGGGCAAACCCCACTGGGAGAGAGACTCTGCACAGGGAGCAGGAGGATGACAAAGTGTTAATGCTCCTGTGTTGGTAAGAAGCCAAAATGAACCCGTTCCTCACTTGGTCCCCAGGCTCAGCGGGATCAACACGAAGGACTCAGCTCGGCCTCTCAGTAGGTATCTACCAGGAGGAAGCACTACCGCTGTCCTGCTTTCAGCTGTTGGCTCGATAACCCCTTTCCTGGAGCCCTCACCCCACCCCAAACTGACAACACTAGCTTTGTGAATCAAAGGAGCACTTTACACACTATGGGAACTTTGAGGAGTTGACTTTGCATCACACAACAACCCAGGAACATCACGACTGTTAGGAATGCTGTTCTTTTTATTCCTTTTCCTTGCTTCCTGGTTGTTTTATTGCACTACGTGTGTGCGTATATTAATATGTATTCCTCTGGGTGAATATGTATTGATATAGATATGGTTTGTGTGTAACTGTACGTATTTAACTGTACTGTATCTTGCAAGCGTGAGGCAAAGAGCACTGCAGAGTCTGTGCTGTTCCTCCTCCACACCAGGCAAAGCTGACTTGCAGTACCATGGTTTGTTTTGTTGTTTATTTAAATGTTCTTTTAAGGACAGTCAGTATAAAGCTTTTTAAAGAGCTCAAGAACAGGCGTTCAGATCCCACACACTTACAGTTGGAAACCCTTTTTTTTTTAAGTTTTATTTGCTGCTTCGTGTTTTTTATAAAGAAATCTTGTAGTGTTCAGTTTTATGTTCAGCATTTCTTCTGAGGAGACTCTGTAGCCAAATGAGACTGTGGGTGCGAGTGGCTCTGGTTGAGGCTTCGGATGCTGTGAGCATGTGTGAGAGGAGAGCTGGCTGCCTTTCCGTCTGCGTGCGCATGTGTGTGTCTTAATTTATCAGTCGTGGCAGTATTCTGTTAGCGCTGGGCAGAAAAGGATCTTTGAAAGCAACTCGAAACCTCAGGCTTTGTTTTTTTGGGATCTAAACATATTTTGCACATGGTGGTTAAGTCCTCGTCGCTTTTTTTCCTCTCAATATTGGCACGTTCAGTGTGATATTTTACGAAGGGTTTCAGGAGCAACTCGATTGACTGTGGAGCTGGCATCATCTCTGGCAACGTGGGTGTTGAAACGCCAATAAATGAATTTAAAGATCCTCCCAGTTGCCCCGAACAGGGAAGTTTAAGTGTAGCTTTCACAAATGCTTCAGTGTTGGGCCGCTGTTACACCGCGCACTCGCAGCCTGCTGCTTCTGGGGCCGTTGTGCTTGTGCCTGGGACAAAGAGAAAAGAAGAGAAGGATACAATCCCAACCAACCAAGGCCCAGCCTGTGGATGGGAACGCCGAGGAGACCCAGACTGCTGCCCAAAGGGTATTGCCAGTTCTGCAAAGGGCTACGCTGCAGGAGGTGGCACGGGAGCACCAAGCCAGGACTGACCCTGCAACACAGGCACCCCGAGCCCTCCCGGCACACACCGACAGCGCCCAGCCCGGGACACACGGGTAGGATGGTCCCTGCGCATGGCGAGCTCAGCACTAACCTTCCAGCCGTGCTTCATTACTTGAATGTATCAAAATCGTCCACATTCAATGTACACAAGTATATATTGCTCCCAAAAAGTGTGGTTTACAGACCTACAGCCGGTATATATGTATGTGTTTGTGTATATACATACGAGGAGGTGTGTGTGCGTGTATGTGTATGGATACACACGCAAACACAAACGTGTATATAGATGTTTTCTCTCAATACTTGAAACTTAGCCACTGTGCTTGAAAAAAAGAAGAAAAAAGACAAAAACACACAAGAAAACACCTAAAAAACCACCCCAAAAATGGGGGGGGGGGGGGGGGGAGAAAAAACAAACCACTTCCTCAGCCCATATCTAGTCAGCATTGGGGGGGGGGGGGGGGGGGAAGAAAAAAATCAGACAGGTGATTTATTTTGCCATCACTTTGGTGACTTTCTTTTTTATCTAATTGCATGGAGCGTGAAACCAACTTTTTTTGGTGAATACTATTTATTGCTTTGTAGACAAGGTATGCAAAAAAACACAAAAAAAAACACAGAAAAAGAGAAAAAAGCAAGAAACCAGCCCAAAAGCAGCCCCCACCGTTGTGAAGTTGCTAGTGTAGCCCACCTGCTGGTGTCATGGCTTCCTTCCTGTTGCAGCGTTTGTGTCTGGCGTCTTCAATAGATTTCAAGAAACCTCAGTCTAATACACACGTATCTTCAGGTTTGTGAGAGCGGATGGTGATGATGTTCTTTATAAGGCAAAATGCTTGATACTTTGTCAATGTTTTTTATTTGTGTTTTGTGTGACCTTATGTTGGGGTTTGTTTTGTTTTTTTGGCTTTAAATTGTACACCACCAATTTAAGAAAATAAAATTGATTTGAAATTGTTAGTGGCCTGTTGTGTCAGTACTTTATCATCCCAGTTAGCCCAGTGTCTGAGTGAGGTGTTCGGTGTGTTTGCTTCTACCAGCTTTGACTTTCAGGTGGAAAAGTGCTGTTAACCCCTTCTGACAGAGGGTGAAGCTCAGGACAGAAAAGCTCCGTTGCCTAAAGCCACACATGGAGCCATTGCAACTGGAAAAGCTGAAGCCAGTTTCTAGGTGGGTGCTGTAGTCACTGCTCACCCATCCTTCTCACCTAGCCATGATCACCTCCTGCTATGGTTAGAAGCGCTCTCATGAGTTGACAGCAGACCCCTTCCCATCCAGGCAGATGCTTAAATATCATCCCTGTTTTAGTATTTACAAGTCGGAGCAATTTATTAGTTGGTATGAAGCACGCTGGGGCAGGGGCATCTGATGGCTCTAGGGGACTGAGTGTAGGTTCATGGTGGTGTCTTTATGAAACCTAATAGTTACGCATTACTTTAAACCCTAGGGGTTTTTTAACTAATGGAGCCAGGCAGCTTCTTGCTGTACAGAAGGTACTTGAAGTGTGAGCAGAGTGGTAAGATTTGGGTATTTTTAATTAAGTATTTTCCTGCCATATACTCACTGCAATTTGACATTTGAACATGGTGGCACATGGGTTAGCTTTCTTGTGCCCATGAAGCTGTGCAAAAAGCCACTAGACATGGCAAAAGGTTTGATGTGTGAGCATTGGTCCTGACTTCAGGTGCCAGACAGGTAGTTCCAGTCCCTGCTCTGTCTGTGTGGAACACTCCAGGATGGAGAGCTAAGCTCTGCACCGGGATGTGAGAACATGCTCAATAAACCAGTCCAGTCCTTCCACTTAGAGAAACTTTGGCCACAGAGGAGTAAATGTTGAGGAGCCAAATACCACAATTTCCCAAAACACCTCTTGCTGGGCTGTGCGTGTTGTTGTCTGTGAGCATCCCTGGAGATCCCCGTATGGGGTGACTCCACATCACCCCACACAGCTACTCGCCTCTATTGTCTTCTGATAAGAAAAGACCTGATTTCAAAATCCTGATTTACCGTGAGCTGGAATTGTTTTTCTTGCTGAGCCCTATTTATAACTCCTGTTTCCTGCCCCTGCCTTTCCCACCACAGGGAACTGGACACAGCGTGTTCGCTCCATGAGAATGATCGTGCCTGGAAGCGCTGGGTTCTGGTCACTTGACGTTTGAGCTGACTCATGGGCAGGGATTCCTTTTCCCTGCAGCTCAGCACACTTGATCTTCGGGGTTTTGGTGTTCTGTGGGGGGGTTATAACATCTGAACCCCCCTTTTGTGGAAAAACCTTGTGTGTGTTTGTTCCTGCAGCAGGGGGTGAAGAATGTGTGTGTGTGTGTGTATATAACATACACATACACACACACAGAGGTTTCTGATACTGAGGGTAAGGAGGGAGTTTCTTTTGAAGCTGCCCGTGAAGAAGTTTAAGGGTTCAGGCAGAAAACCTACAGCCAAATGAAAGATGGATCACTGCATGTCACATGCCCATGTAAATAGAGAACACTGCTGAATCCATAGGACTCTTTGAGAGGTGGCAGAGCAAAGGGGGGGAAAGTGCTGGCAGGAGAGTCTTGAACAACAGAACTAAACAGCCTCTTCTAAAAGCACTAAACACGGGGCCTGGGCAGTTTGCAGCACCGGTGATCATTGCACAACTTTCTAGATGTTGACTGTGACGTTTCACTGCCGTTGTTTCGAGGAGAAAACAAACCCAAGCAATTCTTCCAGGGCATTTGGCTTCGTTCCCGCGCTTTATATTTAGTTGTTGGTAAGTACGTCAGCAGAAACATGCTCATTCAACTCGAAAGATCAGAGGTGACTCGGTGACATCAAGGAAGTAGAAACGGGTGGGTGTGTGTTGAATCAAGATACAAAGACCAAGCTTTAAAGCTTCACGAGGAGTTAACTCCTTCGTGGCGTATTTTAGCTCTTCACTTGCGATGCAGTGCGCCTGGTCACAGCTCCTGTGTGCTCACCGGAGCGGGGTGGTGGACGCTGTGCTGGATGGAGGGGTGCTGCTGAGGGAGGAGATGGGCTGTGCGTGGCAGGGGCTGCCCCAGCTCTGCAGGGCAGCAGCTAATGCTCTCCAGACAAATCCTAGCAATTGGATTTGTTTGAATGTATTACCATAAATGCAGCGCTGGTGCTGGGTGCCATTCCCTGGATGAGGAATGGCACGTAGTGCGGGGATACAAACCTCCCTGGGACGTTTCTGTTCTAAAACCAGCATTTTTAGGGACAATAGAGTCAGAACCACCCCCCTCCTGGGAGCTGAAACCTGGCCAAGGGGTTTTAGTGCTCTCAGAACACGTATTAAATAGTGTACTTCTAAGAATGAGCTCAGGCAAATGATGTCAAACCC